TATATATATATATATATTAAACCTAATAATATTCCAAGCAAAGCTGGTTGTAGCAGTAAAAGCTGAGAAGTATTTAAAAGGGTTAGTCCACGTAAAAGTGATATTCGCTTATAGTCTGGTGGAGCCATTTGTTGGTTTCTCGCTCTTGGTGTCTCCCCCAGCCATAGTTCTGTTCCTGCCCACCTCAGTCTGTCCCCATTGCTTGCTGCACTCTCCATAGTATAGATTAAGAATTCAACCGGAGATCAGAAAACCCTCATAATGGATGTGACACGTCATCAGACCAGATACCACCAGAACACACGAGGGTTATGAGACATGCGTGGTGTAACACCAGCATCTCCAAAACATTCAAATGTGATAATAGTTGAACTAACCCATTCATTTATTTTTCTTTTAGTTATGTTAGTGATGCCTAAAACAGAATTGGCCGTTGTGAAACAATGTATTGTAACAGCATCTGATAATACCTGAGCTCACAAAGAATCTTTCCCTGTCTCCGCAGTATCAGTCCCGAGGTCTGGTGAAAGCTCCTCCCAAAACCTCATTCACCATGTTTGTGGATCTGGGGCTCTACCAGTCATCAGGAGGAAGTGGGGACACCATCCCTGTGGCAGGTATGATATGTGTTGCTAATATCTTTTTTACTTTTACGTGTTGCATAGATGGATAGATACATACATACCCTGTTTCCCCGAAAATAAGACCTACCCTGAAAATAAGACCTAGTTGTGACCATTCCCAGGGCCGGTGGTGGCATAAATGGGAACCTGAAGAGCCGCAGGAGAGAATCAGCGGTGCCAACGAAGCCAGCGCTAGAGGAAGCGAGGCGGCAGAACCGGAGGGGGCAGAGCCGCATAAGCCGATGTTTCCTCTATAGCGCCGGCTCCTGTCACAGGCGGAGTGATACCAAATGCACTCCGCCTGTGAGGAATCGATAGTGAAAGAGCGCTTCGCTCATTCTGGCCAGCGATTGGTTAGCAAATTGCTCCTGGAAAGGTACGGCACCCCTGATTGCCCTGATCACCATATTTTTGTACATGGATAAGTGTGGATTGTTGTATATTAAAAAAAATAAAACCTACCCTGAAAATAAGACCTAGTGTGTTTTTATGAGCCAAAAAAAATATAAGACAGTCTTATTTTCGGGGAAACACAGTACATACATACATACATGCATACATACATAGCTAAATGCATATGATGGTAACTTGCAGGTTTTTATCTGTGGAGAGAGTACTAGGGGCTCTGCAGACCCTGGCTATCAGGAAAAGCCCCACAGATGTACATATGGTCTCCAGAAGAACCACATGTGAAATAAATTAACTTAAAGGAGAACTATTGGGAGAGTAAAATGTACTCTTCCCAATATTCTGAGCCGGCGTGTAACACTGTAGCTGTCACAACGGGCCTATAGCTCGGGAACTGAGCAATCGCAAACCTCTGATCGCTCAGCTCATGGCTTCTCCTTGCAGAGAGAGGTGATCATCAGTAACACTCCCGGGGGATTCCCCCCCCCTCCCCTCTCTGTGTTCCTCCAGTGCTCATTCATGGGACAGACTGAGAGGGAGCGGGCACAGCTGGCTGTAGAGAGGCACAGTCAGCTGTCAATCAGGCAGCGGGGGGAATCCCATCAGTATTGTCAGAATCTTTCCCGGCTGCGCCATGGCTCTGCGCTGTCAGCATCCAGCTATATGGTGACTTTGGGTCACAGGAGGACATTAGGAAATGTCCTCCTGTGACCCAAAAGAGAACTAAAGCCAAAAAAGGTTTGGCTATAGATCTTTTAATGTAAGCAGTCTTATCCATGGAGGGAAAAAAAAAAATGCTCGTATGTATAAATATATAATGCAAAGCAACAGGTTTGGTTGGAGTTCACACAGGGCAACCGACTCTTACCATCCCCACAGAACACTGCTGTCACTGTCCAGTCCCGGGCATCACATGCTGCCCTATGAGGTGTATGCCGGGGGGGGACATTTGGTTTGTTTGCCCTGCAATGATAGGTTCACTTCATTATTTTCAGTGTTTTTACCAACAATCGCCTGCAGGTGGCGATCCTCAATAAGAAAACCTATGCAGCCTGAAACCGCTCCTCTTCCTCATTATATTATCTCACACAGCTGATTTAATTGGCATTCACTAGCCTATCAGTTCGCATTATTTAGGAACATTAAAAGCACCCCATCAGATTCTTTTTCATTGTTTGGGACACCTGAATTTTAAGCTCCTCCCCATCTGTTGAAACCAGGATTCTCCCTCCCAGTGCTGCATTCTCTAATTGGGTTATGGAAGAAGCGACAGGCAGAGTGGGACTCCTTCCCTTGGCCCAACAGTGGATTTGGAAGGGGGGAATTTTGACATAATTACAAAAAATTAGCATTTTGCATTTATTGTTTTTTTTACCTTAATGTGTAAAAAGCTGTATGATGTAGTTGAGATTGTACATGTTCCCTTTTGTGTTTTGCAGCATCATTCGTAAGCGCAGAAGCCGCCAGGTTGGAGCAGCTGAAGTACGAGGCCCGGAAAGGATCTGTAGTGAACGTGAATCCGACTAACACCAGGCCGCACAGCGACACTCCAGAGATCAGGAAGTACAAGAAGAGGTTCAATTCTGAAATCCTGTGCGCGGCGTTGTGGGGTGAGTGTGAAATGTATAGAAGAGGCCCGTCCTGTTCAAAGGAAAGAACGTTAAATACATGGAGTGCATTGTTTGATTTTCTTGTCCGGTTGGGGAAATTTGCCTTCATATTCTGTCATGTAGCTGCAACAGGAAGTGAGTGGAAATCTGTCCAAGGTAAAATCCCTTCTTAGAAATGTGTCATCGGAATAGGGGACCCTATTAGAAGATTTTGCTACACATTCTTTTATGGTGACGGCTGTAACATGTTGACTCAAGTGGTCAAGGTGACCAGGACAAGTAAAGAGGGCAAGCGTCACCAACTGGGACACAGCATTTAAGACTGGGGTGTTTCGGCCGCACGGATCCGCCGAACTGGACGATCCCATACATTGCAATGGGGACCGTTCATGCGACCGCTTGCTCTGAACCGCCCCCACCCGAACTGCTCCTTGCACTATTTTTGCCGCGCTGATCAGTGCGGTTTTCCATACAGGTCTCAATGGAACTGCGCTGATCAGTTTTGGGCGGTTTAAATTTGCGTTTCATCGCTGAAGCAATTAAAAACTCCCAAAACCTCCCTTGCAAGATCAGCGCAGTAACCGCGCTGATCCGCAACCGCCCTGTGTGTCAATGGGCTCTAAAAGCTGACTGAGGTTCTACTCCATCCAAAATGTAAAGTATTTTGCCATAGATACTTTTTATTAGGGGTATACAGATACTAGTATCGATGCTGATACAGTGTATTTGGGCGAGTACTCGTCCAAATGCTCCGATACTTACACCCGATACCGGAAATTCCATTCAGAGGGAGATTTTCTCTGACTGGCAGTGCCGTGGGGGAACATGGACCCGGCTTTCTGGCCAATCAGGAAGCCAGGCGGCGGATAATGACCCGCCTCCCGGCTTCCTGACTGGCCGGGAAGCCGGGTCCATGCTGTTTGGCCAGCCAAATGCTGATTTAGCTGGGAAGCTGGCTTCCTGGCCCAATCGGCATCGAGCCGGGCAATCAAGAAGCCGGGTGGCAGGTAATGAAACGGCGCCCAGCTTCCTGGTTGCCTGGGGAAGCTGGCTCCATGCTAGGGGAAGTATCGGTACTGGGTATCGGCGAGTACCGAAAGAGAAATATTGGTACTCGATACCGGAAAAATTATATTGGTGCGTCCCTACTTTTTAATAACATTCAAAGCATGTTATTATTAAACAGTGTGTATGTAGATCACATGATATGGTCAAAAGTATGTAGACCGCCTCCAACAGAGTTCAGGTCTTCCCAGTGTAGAGTACTGTTAATGCTACAGCATGCAAAGACATTTTAGACAATTGTGCTAGTCCAACATTGGCGAATTCCCTTTTCTGTTCCTTTATGACTTTGTCCCTGTGCACAAGGCCAGTTCTATAAAGACATCGTTTGGTGTGGTGGAGGAACTCAGTTCAGCTGCCAACACTAGGAAAATTCTCCACATCAAACTCTGAGCATACTCCGGTAAATATGAATCGCATGCCCACCCATAGCCAGGAGTGGCCAGTATTTCAATTCACTTCTGACAGCTGAATAGAGAGGGAGCATGAAGGTGAGTATATGTTGCTGGGAAGGTGCAAGTTGGATGACTCCTTTCCTCTGCCATGCCTAGAAAATGGCCACTTTCCAGGAACCAGAAAGCTCTCCACTAAACCAACATTTTTTATACATCCCCAAGCTCTACACCGCACTGATGATAGGCTACAATAATAGAATATTAGGCTGCATCTGTGCAATATGCCAGCAGTTCCCCATGTACAGTTGGTCCATGGGCCAGAAGGGAATAGTTTGTCTGGTGCTGTCCAAGATCCTAAATGAGAATGAATCCGCAGGACTAAGCATAAGTACTGAGACCAGAAATGACCTGCTTCATGTCAACTAGAGAAACTTCCAGGATTTAACTTATCCGGCATGAATCTCTCAGTCGTGTCAGCTAGCTGGAGGGACGCCCAGGATATAATCTGGTGTGAATCTCTCAGTCGTGTCAGCTAGCTGGAGGGACGCCCAGGATATAATATCCGGTTTGAATCTCTCAGTCGTGTCAGCTAGCTGGAGGGACGCCCAGGATATAATATCCGGTTTGAATCTCTCAGTCGTGTCAGCTAGCTGGAGGGACGCACAGGATATAATATCCGGTATGAATCTCTCAGTCGTGTCAGCTAGCTGGAGGGACGCCCAGGATATAATATCCGGTTTGAATCTCTCAGTCGTGTCAGCTAGCTGGAGGGACGCCCAGGATATACTGTAATATCCGGTATGAATCCTGGTAGTTGAATCTTCAACGAAGAAACAAAACAAAAATAATAAAGCCGAAGAGAAGGAGACATCCATTCTCCTGAGGACACTAAGCAAAGCTGT